ATCCCTATAATATCTGGTTTCACTTCCTGCACCAGTAGCTCTAGTTCCTCCATTTTGTTATCTAGGCTCCTTGCATTAGTGTACAAACATCTTAATTTTTGCCATTCGGCTTCACTGACATTCTTTACCCGATTAGGCACAGACATTCTACCACCATTATCACCTATTAGACCGGTATCTACACTACCCTTCCTCTTTACGTCCATTCATATACCCACGGCTGTATCCTTTCTTAGTTAGTTTTCTTCCCTCTCAATGGTAAATTCCAGCATGGAGATTACCTGGACATCTCCCAACCATCTCCCCCAAATTCCTAGTTTAAAGCTCTCTTAATCAGTTGTGCCAGCCTCCATCCTAGAAGTCTATTTCCCTCCTTACTCAGGTGAAGTCCATCCCGAGAGAACAGTCCTCTGTCCATGAATGCTTCCCAGTGGCCATACATCCCAAAGCCCTCCTTATAGCACCACTGCCTGAGCCATCTGTTGATCGCCGTAATCTTGGCACACCTTTGTCGCCCTTCTCTAGCTTGATTCTTTTTATTTATCTTCTTATCTTTAAGACTTATGGGGTCGCATACACCATACACCTCTCTCACATGGGTGTGTGTGTGTGTGTGTGTGTACGTATGTGTCCCCGACCCACCCTGGGCCCCTGGACGGACTCTTCTTTCCTGGTACTTGGTGCCGCGTTTTCCCGAGGCAACATTTGGAGGAGGGCACGCAAGGTCACATGCACAGCCACCACTCCAGATTTCTGCCAGAGTTCACACCAGAACCTGGCCAGCTTTCAGCTCTGTGCGGGAGGGAAGGGACGGGAGCTGCTTCCAGCCGCAGGAGGGGGAGGGGGAGGGGGGAGAGAAGGGATGACCTGGCCCGTGTCTTTGCAGAGCTCATCTCTTCCCCCACCTCCCTGTGGCTGGAAGCAGCTCCCGTCCCTTCCTGCCCGCACAGTGTTGAAAGGCAGCTAATACCTCCTGTTGGCTGCTGCTGGCCACCTCCTGTCTTTCTGTCCCTGCACCCCCCTGCAGCTATAGCGAGGGCAGGAAGGGGTTAAGCCCTAAGGCTGCATTGTGCACCAGGGCCCAGGGAACCTGACCGCAGGAGCTTCAGCGAACCCGGCCAGGTAGGTCGCTCAGCAGCAGAGGGTGCCTAGGGGACAGAGAAGCCCTGCTGTCCCTGGGGGCAGGACCCAGGGTGGGATGGGGCAGGTGAAGAGGGTGCTAAGCCCCTGCCTGGAGGGCTGCTGTGGAGCCTGCAGGTTTAGGGCATGAACAGGCTGGACATGACACACACACACACACACACACACACCCCACCACTCCAGAGCTTGGCTGAGGGGCAGAGAGGCTACCCTGTGCCGGCACTATGTGGGGCTTTGATTCCTCCTGGCCAACACCCCGGGCCACAGTGTCTTGGGCTTGCCTGGGGCACTGGCACAGGCAGAGAAGTGGTGGAAGGAAGGAGCCTGCCAGTGAGCTGAGCACTCCAACCAGGGGTTGGTTCTCCACACAGCACTGGGAGCAGGGTGCACCCAGCCGGGGGAGATATGGAGGAGCAGCAGGAATGTGTGTGTTTGTATGAAGGGGCAAAGCAGGGAGCAGACAGTGAGAGGGGGAGCACATAAATGGTGGACAGTAGAGGTGACATGTAACCAGCACCTGCCCTCACTCACTGGCTGCCACAGCATGCAGTCAGTGCTGGTCAGAAACGGGACAGGGAGTGAGGCCCTGCTGGCTGAGAGCCGGCACTCAGCAGGGGCTGCACTGATGGACCAGCAGGGGGAGCAGCCGGCCTTGCACACTGCAACTTTGCCCTGCCACCAGCCTTGCACCCCCATTGTCGGCCACTGGACCCTCCCACTCACCGCTGGTGGGTGGATAGCTGGCAAGCAGGGATCCAGCCAGCAGCAGGACCCACCAGTACTGATGTGGAGGGGAGGGGGGAAACAGAAAATACGGGACAATTTGCCCATTTTTAAGAAAAAGGACACCTGTAGGAGGCCTTAAATATAGGACTGCCCCCTTTAAAAACAGGACATCTGGTCATCCTGCTTACGGACTTTGTTTAGTGGCAAAACTTAACTAAATTGATATTTAAATTGTTCTTAGTGGTCTTCAGAGCCAACACCCAATTGAGATGAAAAGGAGCAGTATCTACTGAGTTTGTGGACTCGGGCAGACTTCACTTCATTGGTTTACACTAGGTTCATGTTCTGAAGGTTTTCTTCACAACCGTAAGGGTTAGACTTAGGTGTGTGTTAAAAATTAAAATCTTAGATTTGGAGGGGAAAATAGCAGCCACCACAGAAAAGTACCAAGTAACACTTGCCTTTGCAGAGGCATAAATGAAGGTAGGAACAGAGTAAAATAGTTTTTGTTTCTGCCCTAAATGCTGCCACAGAATATCTCCTACCTTGGTCACGATTCTGACCATGCTTAGTTCCTCTTCTAGTTCCCATCACAACAGAGCCAGAGTAAGGCACTACAGGCCTTTGCCCAGGGTCCCCATTTCTAGAGTCGTGATAAGTTCAGCTTTAATTTTTCATAGATTAGTAAAGGAAATCAAGCTTTCCTGCTTTTTCTACTTGCACTGGTTTCTTTATTTTGAATGAACTAGTCATTGAACTGAAGAGCGCTGAATAAATTGAGATGAAGACACTATTTTGTCTGCCTTTGAGGAAGAGGCTACTTCTGTTAAAAGCTGGTTTAGCACTGCAGCAAACTCTTGTTCCATGTGCGTAGCCAGTGACATTTACCAATTCAGTAGTTTGGCTTTCTCTAATACCTCAGTAGCAAACATGTACTACTTTGATTTAATTTAAATTATTTTAATAGATTATAATAAATTTAGGCCTTAACTTAGGTTGTCATAATTGCTAATTTAATTTTAAATGGGTTTATGTTAAAAGAAATGTATTTAATTTAAATTAAAAATTCAGTTTAAATAAAAAAAAATTATTAAAAAAATCATTGATTTTTATCCACTCTGTTTCTAGATCTTACAGTTGAAGAAAAGCTTATAAATGTGACTTGAGTGTAACTGATGACTGCCTGCATGTTCAGACAGCCTGAAACAATAATTTCAAGAGGTGTGAACTGACAAATGCTAACAAATAGACACAAGAAAAACACAAACAGAAACAAAAAAACCCATCCTAAACCAAAACTGTGGAACAAATAAGACACATGCAATTCCACCACTCATTCACATTGCTTTGTGTTGCATCACATCCATTGTCTATATATGTTCTATTTAGAATAGGAGGTTCTTGGCAAAAGAATCTTCCTTTTTATACTTGTTTCCAAGTGTCTAGCAAGTAGAAATAAAACTAAATAGACCACTAATTAGAAGATATCTGGAAAACAAAAGTAATATGTCATGGCAATTTTTATTTTCCTTCAGGGAAAAGTGTGTTGGAATATAATTATGAAAGCTAATGATATTTAAAGTAAAATCAGTACAGTACTAAAAGCAGAGGGTTTTTTTGAATGTTTATTTAAAAAAAAGAAGATAATCTACTTTGTTTAAAAAAAAACAAGGAGTCCAGTGGCACCTTACAGACTAACAGATTTATTTGGGCATAAGCTTTCATGGGTAAAAAACCCACTTCTTCAGATGCATGGAATGAAAGTTACAGATGCAGGGATTATAAAATGACACATGAAGAGAAGGGAGTACCTCACAAGTGGAGAACCAGTGTACTTTGTTTAGATTTCCAGCAAATTCTGACTTTATTCTCCTTTGTAAGATCGCATTTTAGATTGAAGTATGTTATGCTAAAATGCTTAAACAATTTTGTATATTCTCTTTGGTTTAATTTAAAGACACTATCATTTACAGCAATCCAATATTACAGAGCTCTCTCTCCTGGAATTGCTATCTCCAGCTGAAACTGGTATTCATATTTGGTGTGGGTGGACCTTTAAAGGCCTCTGGTTGTGATTTAAGAACAAGAACCTTCAGAAACCATCTTTTATGTACTTTACTACCTCTCATATCCATGCTTTTGCTTTCCCATCTCTCTTTTCCTTGCATGCCTGCCAAGTCTCACTGTTTCTCTATACAAAGCACAGATTTCATGTGGCGGAAGAAGAATGAACAGACATTTTACATTTACGTAATCTGAATGCTCACTCTTTATGTTGCCAAGACTGGTCTCTGCTGTTCTGTTCTCTCCAACACTTTCTGCTGTTCCTGAGTGCAAAATCAGATCGTGAGCAGTCCAGATTGTCAGGAAGAAAAACTAAATGGCCAAATGGCCAGATCAGCATCTATCCCTGCTTGTTTGTTTTTTTAAGCCGGACAGCAGCAACCCACCCTCAAACATTAAAAACCCAAACAACCTTCCCTTGTCCAAAGGGATAACATGTAGTTGATGGGGTGGAAGCAGCCAGAAAATGAAAATATGGCAATGTAGAAGACAGTTGGAGATCAGAATAATACATGGAACTTTCCATCACCCTCCTTTGAATTCCACTAATTAGCCACGTAATGGAAAGTGTTCAAACACATGGGAATTATTTCCTTCTACACCACCACACTCCATATACTGATGATTTCATATTTATTTTTCATCTGGATTAGGTTATATCTTTCATTAGTTTCTGCTCTGTTGGAACTGATTTTCCAGAAGTAGCGCTTCTAAGTAATTGACAATAAATGCTTCTTCCAGGTGGACTGGCATAGGTGGAAATAGTAGAAATTTGGCATTTTCAATTTTTTTACAATTTGGTAAACTTTTACCAACCCTCCCTTTGGTCTCATTTTTCCAATTTCTATTATCAGAGTCTTTCTTTTTCCCCTATAGCTGGCATCCAGCACCAGTTCTGTTTGATCCTGGAACTTAGTGTTCTAAAAGGATACTACACATTAATAAAAAAAATGACTGGATTTTATGTAGAGTTTTTGTAAAGACTGAATGGCAAATCATGTTAGGACAATGGAAGCAGTTCAGCCTATTCCTGAATTAATTACCTTCATGTTTTTCTTTTATATCTTCAGGTTCGCTTCTCATATATGCGAATGAAGTATCTCTTCATCTCTTGGCTAGTAGTATTTATTGGCAGCTGGATTATATATGTTCAGTACTCCACTTACACAGAGCTATGCAGAGGTCATGATTGTAAGAAAATAATAGTAAGTATAGTTATATGTCCTGTTCGTTAAGCTTTTTTAGCATCTATGAATCTACTTTTGAATTATTCAGTAGTTTCCATCAAAAAGTAATATTTACTATTACGTTATGCAAATACAATAATCCTAATTTCAGTTACTTACAGCTAAAACCAATTATTTTTGTACTTTATTTTCTCATTGATTAAATGGCTGAGTTGTAAACTGCCATGTGATCAAATTCACTTTGTGACACTTTTGTTGTGGGAGAATCAATTATAATTGATATACTAATTTTAAGTTAGTGATTCCGCCGCCTTTGTTTAACTCCTTCTGATGAGTTAAAAATGATGCATGCTGCTAGAGTACCCACAAGACACTCAGGTAGAATCTCACTCTTATAAGAGAGAAGCAGCTGGCAGTGTGTTCTCCACAGGGGCCCTGTAGATCTGAAACTTTGTCCTTTACAGTCCAAAATAATTTTAGTTTATTGGCTTTTTAGGGCATGCTGTCCATTTGTTTTCCCTGGCTGCAAGGGATTGGGAGGACTTTGGTGAAAGATTGTAAAGATCTTAAATATGTTTTTGTTTGCTGGTCTATTATACCTTAATTATTAGACAAAGGGGAGTTGCTAGAATAATCTAATCTTATACTTGTATTTTTAAAATGTGTCAGAGTACCTACACCAAAACATAGACATCCTTTTTTAATGAGAGAATGTACAGATTAAAAGAAATAATACTATGAAATCAATGGCAGGCTGTTCCTTTTTCTATTATTTCAGAATGGTGAAATTTGAGGATTCCATGTGGAAGTAGAAATACATGTTAGCAGATGCCTTAACAAGTTTGAGGCATTAGCAATCATTGTTCTTCTTACATTCACCGCCTTCCTCCTCCCTACCCCCACCCCCCCAAAGGCATCTTCTGGCACCATCTAGCATGTAGTTTTGTTTTGTTTGTTTCTTGTTTTCAGTAAGTCTCTTCTGATCGAGTGTAAAAGCTCCCAGTCTGTCTCTCAGTTTGAATCATTGACCCAATAAGGCCCTGATCTTGCAAACTGCTCCATGCAGGTAGACCCCTGGGCCTGCGCAGAGCCCCATTAGCTTCAATATTCTGCTGTATTCTATTCTATATCGGGTCCCCATGCAGATGCAGGGGGTTCACCTCTGCAGAGCAACTTGCAGAATTGGGGCATATCTGAATATTTTTTTGTATCACAGACACGTTTCAGAGTTTGTACAGCTTTCCCCCCCTCATTTTACAGGATAAAAGCATAGATATTGGAAAAGCCAACAGGTGTATTGTTTCCTCTTTCTATTCTTCAGTTCTTTCTAGAAACTATTTTCCTCTTTGTCTTTCAGTGTGATAAATATAAGACTGGAGTTATTGATGGATCAGCATGTAGTAGTCTTTGCGCTAAAGAAACTCTGTATTTTGGAAAATGTTTGTCAACAAAACCCAATAACCAGGTATGACTTTATTTATATGAGCTAATCATATGATTCTTTATCTAAACCGGGTTTGGGGTTTGTTTGGTTTTTGCAGGATATTAAACAGACCTTATTATAAAATGACTTGACTTCAGTTAAATTTTTACTTATTTAAAGTTTTGCTCACTGAGATATTCAAGGGATGAGAATTTTAAACTAAGGATCCTGTTGGCACAGCATTTATAATCCCATTCTAAAAGTGAGAAATCTGAGCTGTCAACCAATATAGAACTCTATCTTAGAAACAGCAGACAACAATTCAGAATAATGTTTGATTCCATTTTACAAGGATTATACTTGTCTGAATTTTGTATTTAATTCACATTTCTGTTTCCATGAAATAGGATGTTTGCCACTCAATCATTTTTAACTCTAGGCATTTTAAATCCAATATGCTAGGTTCAGCAAATCTGTGATAAATTGGGTGGTGGGGGAAATGAGGACAGAGATTTACCTTTTACAGTGATTTAGATAAATACTACAGTCTAATAAATGTATAGATTTGGTATTTCTTAATGTATTTGATGATTTGGCATAGCATATTATACAGAAGTGTATGTATGCTTTGTAATACTGTGTAACACTCTACTTCTCTAATTTTACAAATGCCACTTTTAAAATACTGAAACTTTAAATGTACAATAAACCTATACTTGGTGTGGACCCTGCACTAGAGCAGCTATGAAATCCCATTTCATAATCCCAACTATATATATAAAATGATGGGGTTTAAATTAGCTGTTACCACTCAAGAAAGAGATCTTGGAGACATTGTGGATAGTTCTCTGAAAACATCCACTCAATGTGCAGTGGCAGTCAAAAAAGCGAACAGAATGCTGGGAATAATTAAGAAAGGGATAGATAATAGGACAGAAAATATCATGTTGCCGCCATATAAATCTATGGTACACCCATATCTTGAATACTATGTGCAGATGTGGTCGGCCCATCTCAAAAATTATATATTGGAATTGGAAAAGGTTCAGAAAAGGGCAACAAAATGATTAGGGGTATGGAACAGCTTCCGTATGAGGAGAGATTAATAAGACTGGGACTTTTCAGCTTGGAAAAGAGACGGCTAAGGGGAGATATGATTGAAGTCTATAAAATCATGACTGGTGTAGAGAAAGTAGAAGGAAACTTAAGGAAGTGTTTTGTTTACTACTTCTCATAACACAAGAACTAGGGTCACCAAATGAAATTAATAGGCAGCAGGTTTAAAACAAATAAAAGGAAGTATTTTTCACACAATGCACAGTCAACCGGTGGAACTCCTTATCAGAGAATGTTGTGAAGGCCAAGACCATAACAGGGTTCAAAAAAGAACTAGATACAGATGCCCCCTGGGTTTTGCAAACCCGACTTATGCAAATCCGCACTTATGGAAAAAGTTCCGTAAGCTAGAAATAGGAGGTCTTTTTTTTTTTTCCTTTGTAATGGTTGGGTATACATTTCTGACTTACGTAAAATTTGAGTTACGCAAGGCGTTCCGGAACCGAACACTTGCGTAAATTGGGGAGTGTCTGTAAATTCATGGAAGATAGGTCCATCAATGGCTATTAGCCAGTATGGGCAGGAATGGTGTCCCTAGCCTGTTTGCCAGAAGCTGGGAATGGACGACAGGGGATGGATCACTTGATGATTACCTGTTCTGGGGCACCTGGCACTGGCCACTGTGGGAAGACAGGATACTGGGCTACATGGACCTTTGGTCTGACCCAGTAGGGCCATTCTTATGTTCTTACGTTCATTACACGGTCACTTCCAAAATTGCTGACACTCCACATCCATTAAAGGTTTTGACAGAGTGCCTGTGTTCCAGTACAGCGTGCTTCCTCTCTCCCATCCTGCACCATGAAACCAAAATAAATGCCTCTTATCAGCCTTAATGGAGAAGTTGCTGTTGCCATTGTATAAAGCACACTTTTATGGAGCATGGGCATGTTGCTCTTTAAAATCATATTTGGATGCAGTGGTCTCTCTTAAATATGTTTTAAAGTGGCACATTGTACAGGGAGCTGCCAATACCAGTCTGAATGCTGGCTCCTTGCAGTTTCCATGAGCAAACCCAGCATTCTCACTCAGGACAGTAGAAGACCGGAGAGCTTTTGAGGAAATTTTTATGTAACTATCTCATTGCCTTTTTTCTACATAGATGTATTTAGGAATCTGGGGTAATCTACAAGGTGTCATAAAATGCCAGATGGAAGAAACTATTCATCTTGATCTTGGAACTGAACTGGAACCAAGAAAAGAAATAGTTCTGTTTGATAAACCAACTAGAGGAACTACTGTTCAGAAATTCAAAGAAATGGTATATGGTCTTTTTAAAGTAAGTATATGTCAGAGAAGAGAAAATGAGCATAGATGCTCATTCTCACCACATTTATTTTTTATTCAAAAAAAATTTTTTTTTGTCCTCTCTTTTTTGCCTGTTCGTTTGTTTTCAGCAGGAAGAGTACACAAATTAAATGTAAAGTCAAAACCTACTAAGCTACAAATCAAGTTAGGTTAGGGATGACCTTCTATTTTAGCTTTGAGAACAATTTTCATATTTTTTCACTTTAAGAATCCACTGTGATTGTGGAAAAACTCAATTATGTTCTAGGCTACAGTGGTTGCTGGTGAGTAGATCACATAAGCATGAAAAATTTTAGACCCAGAGTTACATGTTAGAGACAATCATGAGTAATTTAAAAGAAAAACAAAAACAGAGGGGTGGAGGTGGCAGGATAGTTATTGGAATGGAAACTAGCATGCAACTTTCACATGTTTAAGGCTTGAACCTGTTTTTGGCCCTTAAAGTCTTTCTTAAACTACTGTTGGGAACTGTGTTGTAGCCTGGTCCCATGACATGGTTGTATTTATAATGCTAGTGATGTCCCTACAGCCCTATTCCTACTGGCATTGGAGCAGTGTCTAAATACAGTTTCTCTAGAACTCTGCTAGCATCAGTTTTGCTAACAATTGTGACCAGAGAAATAAGTATCTCTTCCTCTGCATTTTTTCTGTATCATACTAAAAACTATTCTATCCTACTAAGTAGTCTACAGCCGAGTTTTCCCAATATAGAAGCATTGATCTAAGGATATGTTTACACTGAGGGTTTTCTGAACTTCTCCCTCCATTACTCTATCACTTATGCAGCTCCAGTAGTGATAGCAACTGTGGCAGTGTGAGTTTAAAAACCAAACAGAAAACCTGACAGCTGATCTACAAGTGTCACTTACCCCTACTCAAAGCAGGTCTATGCAACATCATGGTAAGAATGTTGGTGACTGGTTTACACTAGTGCTTTCCCCTATAATTAACACTGGTGGAGTTGCAGAGATGCTAGAGTAATTGCAGGACAATATCAGAAAATGTTCAGTGGAGACAAGGACTTGAAAAAATATCCTGACTATACTGGTCATAGATGGGTGTAGCACAGTTTTGATTCCAGAAAGGACAGGACTTCCCTATTCAAAAGCGCAGCAGTCCTGCTAGTTTGTTAAACCAATGAAATGAAAGTTATTATAGTAAGTGACAGAACTAAGTATGAAAGTACATTTATTAGTATAGGAGTAGTACTAAGCGATATTAAAAACATATTTATGAGTGGCTAGTAATGATTGTATTCCTTGTTGTAATCTCTCGTCACTATTGCAAGATGCACGCTTTAATCAGATGAATCTTAGTAAAACAAGCTCTGGTTATTATGAAATGTTGTTTGAACTCTCAAAACTTTTATAGCAAAAGAACCACATAATGTTTTTATTACAAGTAGGGTTGTCAAGCGATTAAAAAAATTAATCGTGATTAATCACTCAATTAAAAAAGTTAATTGCGATTAATCGCACTGTTAAACAATAATAGAATACCATTTATTTAAATATTTTTGGATGTTTCCTACATTTTCAAATATATTGATTTCAATTACAACACAGAATACAAAATGTACAGTGCTCACTTTATATTATTTTTGATTACAAATATTTTCACTGTAAAAAACAAAAGAAATGGTATATTTCAATTCACCTAATACAAGTATTGTAGTGTAATCTCTTTATAATCAAAGTTGAACTTACAAATGGAGAATTGTGTACAAAAAATAACTGCATTCAAAAATAAAACAATGTAAAACTTTAGAACCTACAAGTCCATTCAGTCCTACTTCAGCCAATTGCTCAGACAACAACGTTTGGTTACAACTGGCCGGAGATAATGCTGCCCACATCTTGTTTACAGTGTCACCTGAAAGTGAGAACAGGCATTAGCATGGCACTGTTGTAGCCGGATATCGCAAGATATTTACGTGCCAGATGCACTAAAGATTCATATGCCTCTTCATGCTTCAACCACCATTCCAGAAGACATGCATTCATGCTGATGACGGGTTCCGCTTGATAATGATCCAAAGCAGAGCGACCAACGCATGTTCATTTTCATCATCTGAGTCAGATGCCACGAGCAGAAGATTGATTTTTTTTTTTTGGTGGTTCGGGTTCTGTAGTTTCCGCATCAAGAGTATTGCTCTTTTAAGACATCTGAAAGCATGCTGCACACCTCATCCCTCTCAGATTTTGGAAGGCACTTCAGATTTTTAAACCTTTGGGTCAAGTGCTGTATCTAACCTTAGAAATCTCACATTGGTACCTTCTTTTCATTTTGTCATATCTGCTGTGAAAGTAGTTCTTAAAACTAATATGTACTGGGTCATCATTCGAGACTGCTATAAGATGAAATATATGGCAGAAGGTGGGTAAAACAGAACAGGAGACATACAATTCTCCCCCAAGGAGTTCAGTCACAAATGTAATTAGTGCATTATTTTTTTAACGAGCATCATCAGCATGGAAGCATGTCCTCTGGAATGGTGGCCGAAGCGTGACAGGGCACATGAATGTTTAGCATATCTGGCACGTAAATACCTTGCAAACACCGGCTACAAAAGTGCCATGCAAACACCTGTTCTCACTTTCAGGTGACATTGTAAATAAGAAGCAGTCAGCAGTTATCTCCCATAAATGTAAACAAACTTGTTTGTCTTAGCAATTGGCTGAACAAGAAGTAAGACTGAGTGGACTCGGAAGTAGGACTGTAGGCTCTAAAGTTTTACATTGTTTTGTTTTTGAGTGCAGTTATGTAACAAAAAAAAATCTATATTTGTAAGTTACACTTTCATGATAAAGAGATTGCACTACAGTACTTGTATGACGTGAATTGAAAAATACGATTTATTTTATCATTTTTACAGTGCAAATATTTGTAATCAAAAATAATAATATAAAGTAAGCACTGTATACTTTGTATTCTGCGTTGTAATAGAAATCAATATATTTGAAAATGTAGAAAAACATCCAAAAATATTTAATAAATTTCAATTGGTCAGCTATTATTTAACAGTGCGATTAATCGCGATTAATTTTTTTAATCGCATTGAATTATTTTTGTTAATTGTGTGAGTTAACTGCGATTAATCAACAGCTCTAATTACAGGATACCTAACATAATTTATTAAAGACTCTCTTACTAAGGACAAAGTGCAAATTTTTAGGACTTTGAAAAAGAAGAAAACACATACTTTCAGTGCACCATACACATGAAAGGAACACTCAGTACAGTCCTAAAAAGCACTGCGTATGTATCATTACTGAAACCCGAAAAAACAGAGTATGATCATAGACACTGCTGTAGGTTCCACATGCAGCTGAGTAGAATGGGTAAAATACTTCATTGAATATAAAAACACAGGACAGGTAACCAGTTTACTAGTTTTTAGAAGAAAAATGTATATGGAATTAAATATATATATTTGTTTTTTCTAGCGAAAGTTGGGTGAACAGGGAAATCTTTCTGAACTGGTTAATCTCATCCTGTCAGTTGCTGATGGAAACAAAGATGGTCGAGTTTCCTTACCAGAAGCAAAGTCAGCGTGGGCTCTTCTGCAGCTAAATGAATTTCTGCTTATGGTGATCCTCCAGGATAAAGAACACACCCCAAAATTGATGGGGTTTTGTGGAGATCTCTATGTGATGGAAAGAGTTGAATATACCTCTCTCTATGGAATAAGCCTTCCATGGATCTTAGAACTTTTCATTCCCTCCAGTTTCAGAAGAAGCATGGACCAGTGGTTTACTCCATCATGGCCTAGAAAGGCAAAAATAGCTATAGGGCTTTTAGAATTTGTGGAAGACATTTTCCATGGACCTTATGGGAATTTTCTTATGTGTGATACCAGTGCCAAAAACTTGGGTTATAATGATAAATATGACTTGAAAATGGTGGACATGAGAAAAATTGTACCAGAAATTAATTTGAAGGAATTACTTAAAGATCGTCACTGTGAGTCTGACTTGGACTGTGTTTATGGTACAGACTGTAGAACTCTATGCGACCAAAGTAAAATGAAATGTACCACAGAAATAATTCAGCCCAACTTGGCAAAAGTATGCCAGTTACTAAAAGACTATCTGCTTCGCGGTGCTCCGTCAGAAATACGCGAAGAGTTAGAGAAACAACTGTATTCTTGTATTGCCCTTAAAGTCACAGCAAACCAGATGGAAATGGAGCATTCTTTAATACTAAACAACTTAAAAACTTTATTGTGGAAGAAAATATCCCATACAAATGATTCTTAGTACCTTTAACCACAGAAGAAAACATTGTTGCCACTATAGGAGATTTACCACTTTTTATCAAATGCATCTTTGGCATTTTTAAAATATTTCTTCTTAGCTCAGAATTCATTAACTTTCCTAACTCTTACTCCAGCAAACACTGCTACTATAGTGCTTCTCAGAGAGAGAGTGTGCCACTTAATGAATTGTCTGGCAGAAGTTACAAGAGCCTTGTGGTTAGAATGCTCCATCATGGAAATGAACCATGTGCTTGCCCTCCCCTTGCACTTTGGCAGAAGACCCTAAACTGGGGTCTCCGGCTGTCAATATTCACTGTGCTACCATATTGACTAATTTAATTTTTTTTAATGCTGTGACTAGCATCATTCATTTGTAAATATCCACTGAGAATTATTTTTTTCCAAGTAGTGTTACAAATGCTTGCCAAAAGACCCACCGCTATTAGAAATAATGTGCTTGAGTCCAAGAGACTCTTTTGAATGAACTGAACATTTTGAGAATGAAGTTTACTAATAACTTAGCATGGCAAAATTTGCACAATGGGAAATTTTTAAATTGCTAAACTCAGTGTGACAAAATTTATTTCAGAAAACTGGGTATTTTAGTATGAGAGATTTTTAGTTAGATTTTGTTTGCATTCACCTTTTTACCTCATACTTACATATATCTTGAATGTTACCACATTAGCTGAAAGTTCTTAATTAAAGGTCCTGGTACAACATGCCATGTTGGAAGCTAAGAATTTAAAATATGTATTATAAATTTAAAAAGTTGCATATACTAGAGCAACAATATACCATTACACAGTGGGGAAACAGAGAAACTACAAAGCCTGAGTCTTGAAAGATATAAGGAAAGTTAAGCAATAGCCAGTTTTGAAGCCAGGGATTTTGTGGATTAGGTGATTCTAAAAGGATGAGGAGTTAAAGAACTTTGAGGCCTTGGCTACACTTACCCGGTAGTTCGGCGGCAAGCGATCGAACTTCTGGGTTCGACTTATCGCGTCTAGTCTGGACGCGATAAGTCGAACCCGGAAGTGCTCGCCGTCGACTGCGGTACTCCAGCTCGGCGAGAGGAGTACTGCGGAGTCGACGGGGGAGCCTGCCTGCCGAGTGTGGACCAAGGTAAGTTCGAACTAAGGTACTTCGAACTTCAGCTACGTTATTCACGTAGCTGAAGTTGCGTACCTTAGTTCGAATTAGGGGGGTAGTGTAGACCTGGCCTAATAGTTTTGGTAGCTGCAGTGTGGTAGCCTTTATAATGGAGATCCTCATAGTAAATGTTTAGAGTCCTTAGTTTGACTTAAGTGAAGTATCTAACAAACTACATTTCTAACACTGATGTAGTCTAAACGTTTGATTTTGTAGCTAAGGCTGTGTGGCAAGATCTGTCTTGCATTTACTTTCTCCTGGTTTACTTTAACAAATGTCTAAATTATAGCTAGGCCTAAGCCACAGGACAGAATCTAGATCCTGATCTGGATTTCCCTAAATTTTGGAAGTGTTCATTTATGTAGTTTTTTGTTTCTCTTTGGGTCCATCTTTACCCTCAGCACTAAATCAATAAGTTTATTACTGGAAATATTCTCCTTGGCATGTTCTTGTTTAAATTTTTGCAGGATGCTAGGTTTATTCTCTGCAGCTCTGAAGCAATGAGTGAATACTAGACTTGGATCATGAGGGAAATAACTTGTGATCTCATCTTAACTCCCATTTGCCCACATTCCACACTGTTCTTGACTGCTCAAGAGTGGCTCAAGTCACAAATGAGACTTTGCAGAACTCTGTGTGTCTAAAGCACTTGTGAACACTATGCTTGGTATTCACCCATTACTAACCCTTCATAAGCACTTAATTCACTTCTACCTTTTGTTCAAGGGAGATGAGGAAAAAACCTTTTATTTAAAAAGTACTATTTAAAGTGTTAATTCTTTTTACTGCTTTGCAGGCCTTTTGTGTTCAACTTGTTTCTTAAATGATTATTAGTACCTGGATTCAACAAAAATCTTGTTCATGAAGGCATATAACAAACATACTTGGAGAAGGTAAAATCATCTATGTGGGAAGTATTAATTCTCTTGTTTTAGGTGTGGTTTTGCTTTTTTGTAAATATTCAGTTGTTTGACTCTTGCACAGTGTCTACCATTTTGCTGTCTCCTTAAAGTTGACTGATCTGCCCTCCAAGAAGAGGTGCTAATATATCTTCAACTAGTAAAGAAACCAAACATTAAGTATATCATTTTCTTACCACATAAATCTGACTGTGAATACTATGATGGCTATTCGGCATTGAAACTATTGAACAAAATAGTGTGAATATTTTAAATGTTTTTTGGATAACTGGAAACTTGTCAACAATGCAGTTTATTGTACATTTTTATTGCTATTGCAACACCTTCAGGAGCTTTCATTTAGAGTTTTGTTTACAATAAATCAAAGGAATCCTTTCCCTCTTTTACAGCAGAATTTTTTATAAATTAACACTGGGTGTTTGACTTTTTCTTAAATGGAAGGTTTATCTTAAAGTAACTTCAGATATCCAGCTTCAATTTCATTCTTAATTTAAATTATAGAAAAGGAGCAAGTCCCTTAACTCAACCCTAGTGAACCATTTAGACTGAATACATAAATCATATCTTGTTTGTCCATTGTCAGTGGCAGAAAAAGTGTCAAATGAATGGGTGTTTTTATTCTTAATAGTAATGTAATCAAGGGATGACTAATTCAATGGAATTATTTTAAGTGTTTCAAGGGACTTGAACCCTTAACTCAAAATGTTTTGAAAATGCAAGCACTGTAGTAAATCTATTGATCATTTGTAAGATCAAGTATAAATTCCTATTGTGCCAACTAAATATTACCCAAAGCATCTGAAGCATTAGGTTATGGAATCTCTTCAAGGTAGTTAAGCAAACGCAATCAGTGGGACTAACGTGCCTAAAATTAGCATGTGCTTTTAAGTACGATTACAAATTCACTTCATTTTTGAAAAAAATACTATCTGAAACAGACTACTGGCAGATTAGTTGACAACCCTGGGCACCTTTCTTCCACTTAAGTCTTTCACTGGAAATAATGTAAATTTATAACTAGAGTAGAAACATGGGTGGCTCCAGGTGGGTGCCTGGGGTGGTAAGCCACGGAGGGCTCCCTGCCAGTCCCTGTGAGGGTGGCAGTCAGGCAGCCTTCGGCAACATGCCTGCCGGAGGTCCGCCGGTCCTGCGGATTCAGCCTGCCTGCCGTGCTTGGAGTGGCAAAAAAGCTAGAGCCGCCCCTGAATAGAAAGCGTTGCTAGATGCTTTTTAACCTCTGCCCTGGAGTTGGGGTAGCCAGTGGAATTTAGTTGTCTGCCAGCAGGACCTAATGTGTTCCTCAGTTGTAGAATCATGCTCCAGAGCTTTTGTTTAAAAAGTTCCAACTCATGACTGTGTAACAAAATCCAGCTTGCATGTAAACCAGTGTAGCAGCTCTGGACTGTGTAGCTAACACAAAAATCCCAAAAATCTGATACTAAAATCAAAAATATGGGGACAATGTCAATGAACTTAATAAATACCAGATGCTATATTAGTGATAGTCACATTTATTATCACTAAAGCTGCTGACAAATTTAGGTCCAGCTTCTGCAGAGTACAGGACTTGTGTATCAGCTTGAGACTTTTGGGATAAATTTCCATTAAGCAAAGTAGTTACAGGGCAAACCATTAATATTTTTTCCCTAGAGGGAAGAGTGCTGAGGTGATACAGCTTCTCTTGTGTGATGTACACATTCACTATAAAACCCTAGACTGCTAGTGGAGGGAATGGTGGCACCTAGTGGTAATGAAACTTTGTTTCAAGAGTAGAGTTAGAGGGAGGTTCTTATTTTGAGTGGGTTTACAATAACTACAGCAGTGCTAATACATAAATCATGACATTTTACAGCCCCTTCCCACAGTAGGTGGCCTTAATATTAGAACTGTAATTTAACTAGCCACACCTTTCCTTTAGCAAGGTACAAGAGCAGTTCTTACATGTGTGTAAAGAGAAGTCTCTGGGTAACCTTGCAAGTTTTGAAACAGGAGAATTAGATTACATAATTCATAGTCAATTTAGTAGTTTTTAAACAAACAGACTACACCAGTACCATTACTTCTCCCCACACACCCAACAGAGCCTGTAAAACTTGATATTTTTTTTCCTTTGCGGTATGTTCACCTGACAATTGGTTTCTTCCTTAATGAGCTCATTACTGCTTAATTTTCATTGGAAGACAATCCTGTTCAATAGTTGTCATACTACTATTGGAATTATAAAAGTTAAGGCAGGAACAGATTAATTTAAGCAAGGTTTTAAAACATGGAATTACCCTGTAGTAAGAAAGTATGATTGGCAGTACTGTTTTGTGTGTGTTCAACATCCTCCCTTCAGTAGCAATTGACTCCAAATGAAATTGGATATTCCAAAGAATATTAGAGATTAAAATCAACATTGGTAGGATAATTCATGACTCAAGGTACCTCACTGTTTCAATTATCTAGTTTTCATGTAGATAATTTTTTAAAGAATTATTCAATGAATCTTCTCATTGCACAGCAATAATGGCATTACTTTGTTGCTAATTAACTGAAAGAACTCTGCAAGAAAGCTCATACACTAGCATTGCCACCAATATTCTTTTACATTTTCTTGGTACTGAGTGGGCTACCAAATCCACTCAACACATTTTTGTCCTTGAGCAAGTTTACCCTTGCCTAAGGACAAAATTGAGGGTGGGACGTGCCAGCTTGGAGTCTCTGAAAGGGGTCTGTGTGCATCAAACGGCAACTCCCCCAGGCTAGTGGTTTCAAACTCCCTCTGCCAGGAGCAACTGCCACATCTCTGGAAATCAACTGCTGGGCAGGGGTGAGACGCTTTGGCCTCTTCAGACTAACTCCAGAGCCTCCCCGAACTGGGTGGATACTGCAGAGCTGTTGCTAAAGGAGCTGTCCCACCACCTCCTCCCAGCCAGGCGTGGCCTCAAGAGGAGGAGGAAGGCTTTCATGCCATGGAGGAGTGTCGCGCAGCACTGAACAGAGTACAGCAGGTTCTTAAAGGACCAGACCACAGTCTTGCTGGGGCCACAGAGGCACAGTTTCTGACTTGTGCAGCCACATGTGTGCAGTTTACAGGAGACACTGACTGCCACTATTAAGTACACATTCTTAGTTAGGAGGAATGGATAATCACATGCATACATAAACCCATTTAATTAACACTAATTTTCTTTTGGCTATTATCGAGATTCACCAATGCCTATGACTTGTCAGCAAAGTGTATTTAAAATCTCATCTTACTTTCCAATGCATAAAGCTAAAATTCCAGTAGAACTACAGACAAAGGTAGTTAACTGAGAAATAGAGCCAGTGCCAAAAATTCACAGGGTGAGAGTCAATAGGTGACAAAATGAAAGTTTGTAACATTATCCAGTGGTCTGTGAAATACAGTAAGTTGGATCCTTAAACATACTAAGTTACCTTGAAGACCATCATCATGATTCTAACGCTGTAGAATATTTTGTAAGCCTCTTTTTCAGATAGATTGTTGGGACTTTCATTTAGATAAAGCATCTTTAGATCAAATGTCAATAAGCCAATGCTACACAGTTGCTGGTTCAATAAATTTATTGTACTTTTCAAAGTCTTCATAGAAAATTGTGGAAGATATCTTAGCTATCAGCTGTACGCTCCTGGGCCCTGAGGAAGCTAGCCTTCTTCTGAGCAACACGATCTTTCTTCTGGGCAAGGGATAACTTGGGACGGTTCCATCTGCAATGCAAACATGGTATAAATACACAAGGCAGCAATAGTAAATCTAAATACCAGAACACCAGGAGTTACATGACCATAAGGAATGAATGTGACATTTATATTATTATGCTTAGGAAATAGTGTTTCAGAGATTACTTTCTATAGCACTCTTTCTTTCAGTGGTCAAGGCAATGGATTAATTGGTCACATTATGAAAGTGCACCATGTTTTTAACTGTAGTATCCAGTTTACTACTAAGGGAAATAATTCTAAGATGTGTGGTGGCAGCACTGT